GCCCGACGGCTATCTTAAACGCATTAAATAAGCTGTTTTGGAAAACAACTTGCCATTAGTCAGCATTGTAATCACTAATTATAACCGGGAGAAAACAATTGCTACCGCTATAGAAAGCGCTTTAGCCCAGGACTACCCCAATTTAGAAATTATAATAAGCGACAATTGCAGCACAGACAAGTCTGATGAAATTATTTCCAGGTACACCGGGGATAGCAGGGTCAGGTATTCTGTTAATGAAACTAATATCGGGATGTTAGCAAATTTCAGACTTGCCATCTCCCATAAAGCGCAAGGAAAATATTTTACCATTGTCAATAGTGATGACGAGCTGATCAACCCGCATTTCATCTCCGATTGTATTCATATTATCAACAAAGGCGAGAATATCCTTTTAGTTAAAGGGGCCAGCTTTCATAAGCGGAAAGCCGCAGGCAAATACCATTTATACAAATCATTGAATGATATTGAAAACGGGTTGGCTTTTTTTAAGCACTTTCGATTTAATCAGGATTTCGGCTGGGCCGGGGTATTGATCGAGCGTGCGTATATCGGTCAATATGATCTGCTTCAGAACAACGCTACCGGCTGTGATTATTTTATCAACTTAAAGTTAGCCCTGCTTGGTAATATAGGGTTCGTTAAAACACCGAGCTACCAGTTTAATATACACGAATCAAACCTGAGCCATACCGCTTATACATTTCCCCAGATCGACGAGCTTTTTGGAGAAATAGAAAAGCTGTTTGATTTTTTTCTTGACAATAAGCTGGGCGATGCCGCAGCAGCAACGCGTATCAAAGAGGAATACCAATATTGTTACGTAGCCAATATCATTGAAGATTATTACTACAGCAACCGTCCTTTACTAAACAAAGTCAATGAACGGCTCAACGCCGTCAATCCCCGTCTTGTAAAAAGATTTTATAGCTCTAAGCGCTGGTATCTTTATGCGGCCACCTTCTTCAACAAAGGGCTGGGCGATAAGATCATTCATATAAAGTGGACACTCAAGAATTCCCTCTTTTCTTAACCGGAATGGAAAGAGGGAATTCTTTATAATGCGGTGCCGTGGGCATCCATAAAATGAACATCCAGCTTATACGATGCTACCTTTTCTTTGATCTCTCCGCTATAATTAGTGTTCATGATTATCACCAGGCATTTGCTGCCGGATATTGTATTCAGAACATCGGGATTCTGGATCAGGTGCGCAGATAATGGGGTGTACTTCTGTTGCTTCTCCGTATTAACATCGATACAATAGTCCACTACCTGCCGGTCTATATCGATACTGTTTGTAAAGATGACTCCCTTGGTAGCCATACCCCATACGATTACTTTATAACCATCGGCCCTGTATTGTTGAATGGTATCAAAAACAGTGGTTTTAGCCGCATTGATCGAGTCTACAAAATCCCGGATCGCGGATTGGCTGATGGCTGGGAAGGAAGGCTGCACTGCATTTTTTTCGCTTTCATTAAAAACACCTTCTACCCATAGATACTGATCATTGAAACTTTTGGTGATGGTATTTAAAGTACACCATGGCTGGGCACACATAACACCGATAGATTTTTGAGAAAAGTAATTGCAATGCTCATAGCAGATGTCCCAAAAAGTTTTGTTGTCCGCAATCCAGCCAAAGTCC